CATAAGGATGATTTCCATAAAGTTTTGTGCTACTTCAAAATTATCAGTGTCAATAGCAAATGTTGACATCACAACTATTCATAGGAAGGTACCACTTTTGAAGAGACTCTGGTAGTTGTAATATTTACTCTGAGAGGCTAAAAACAGTACAGGTCATTGTTCATTTAGCATTTTTACTTGTACAAAGTGGAAAATTCCCAACAAAAAACAATTAGACAAAGTGCATGTAGCACTCATCATACTAACATCTCAGCAATTAAGATGCTGTAATCTGGTTCTGTTGTCTACAAGATATTGGGTCTTCTGTGTTCTTACTTTTTTGCCTGTGGAAGGAAATGTACTTTGTAGAACAAACAATCAAATCCACAATTTGTTGAACAAACAATCAAATCAATTTTTTTTGTAGAACAAACAAATCAACAAACCAGAAAATTATAGAAATTTAGTTGTAAGGAAAACTGTTTCCTGTGCAGCTCTAAAAGTTGATTTTCCACTAGTATTATCCATGGGTACATAGAGAGGGATTTTTTACGTCACACTCAGACACCAAAATTATGTCTAGTTGTTTATATATGCTTTGTTGAGAATGAAAGATCTAAAGGAAGTGTCTAGGAAGGTTTTGAGAAATTAAGAGAGGATACACTTATGAAAACAAGGAGAGGGAAACTTTTGACACTTCAGTGCACTTATGACTAAATTAGTCATTAATGGACTTTGTTTCTAGTGGGCAGGGAGAAAAACGTGACTTGAAACAAATTTTTTTTTTTTTTTTTTTTTAATATAGGGTAAATTTCATTTCAGTTATGTTGCTGCCTCATGTAGAGGGAAGACCAGAAGAAAGTGAGACAACACAAGAAATGGAGAAGGCTATTCTATTCTGCTCAAAGGTCTATTAAATTGTTCTGGAAAATAATAAAGAAAATGTAATATCTGAGACAGAATACCACAGGGACAAATGAAGACAGAGTCACAAGGAGCAGAAAAGAAATCTTGATTCATTGAAAGCAATCCAATCAGTGGTAATTTTATAAAGCTTGGGGAGGATCCCAAAAACTTTTAGTGATTGAATGAAAGAAAAAGTTGTTGGATATACAAAAGGTGTATGATGAAAACACCCCCTGGAGTTAAAAGATTGCTCTATGAAGGAAAAGGACTTCTCAGTCACTGGTGGTACTGTGAAGACTGGTTCCATGTGCAGTAGTCCTTCCTCATCTGCATTGTGGCTTCTGAAGTCTCCCTCACTATTCAAGGCAGATATTCAAGAACCATCTGGACAAAACCCTGTGCCCTGTGCTCTAGGATGACCCTGCTTGAGAAGGGAGGTTGCACCATATGACCCTCTGGGGTCATGAACTAAGGGAGAGCATCAGGTCCTCATGATTTAGCTGCTACAGCTAATTCTACAATGTTTTGCCCTCAGTTAATTCACTAGACCAATGCATTTAACCAATTTCAAATCATAATCCCAATCAAAGAAGGACAAAAACATGTTTGCCACAAAAATGAAAGGGATTAAAATTTAGAAGACAGCAATGTGAGAATGTACTGAATAGAACACACACTAAACTGAAAATTGTGTAAATCATGTAATGGGCAAGAATGGAGCATGTCATGTAGATATTAATTCAATTTATCATTGCAGTAATTACAATTTTACTAGTCTCATTAAAATGTAGCAAATGTATACAAGTAATCCAGTCTTATAAAACAAAGATCTATTGCTTCTCCCCTTATAGGGTCTTTCAGGCCTTTGATCCATGATTTGTCAATTTAGTAATTCACAAATATTTTTATCCTCCTCTTCCTTTCTCCATGAATGACAACAAAAGACTCATAAGCCTATCTTAATCTGGTTGATTCAAATTTCCTTGGAGGAATTTTAGATGGAAAAATTCTTCTGAAAAATTTTATAGAGTGACTCCTTAAGGTGCCACAGACGGTCTCAATGGTGTCTATGAATAATGGAATCAATTTAAAAGAGCCTTGTGAATCCGTGTCTGGTCTGGTTGATTAGAGCTAGCACTTGATAACCTGTAGTGAACAGCAGGACTGAGCTACAATAAGGTATAAAAGAATACTATTAAAAGTTCTAGAAAAGGGAAAACAGGGACTCATTAAGAAGATTCATAGGATGAAAGGGAAAATGTAGATAAATGTCCATGTAGATAGCCACAAAATATTTTGAAGAGACTGAAGGAGACAGCATTTATACTACTTTGATCAGAGAAGACACTCTGATACTAGAAACAAAAAGAACACAACTATGAAATCAAGTCTAGTGGAAGTACAGAGTATTATATCTAGTAAATACAAATAGTGCTAAAGACATGAAAATATTAAACTCTCTACATTATTCTAATGCATCATTCTATGTTACCTAACCCCCTATAGGTTTTGCTAGAAATACTTTTTGTACAAAGTTTTCAAAAACTTTATCACTAAAAAATTTCAAATACCATATGGGCTTTATCATAATTAAATCAAACCTGAATATTTCTTCCTTCATATTTTTGTTAGAAGTGTCCATGCTCTCTGTTATCTCCACTAGAACAAGAACTAGACTCCCAAAAGTGAGACACTATATTTTTTTTGCCTCTCTGCCTCTCATTCTGTTTACTATTACATCTTTTTTGATATCTTCTCAAGGGGAAAACCTCAGCCATTGATAAAATATCAAAGACCACAGGTTTCTCTAACATCATAGCAGTGTTTAGGATAGTGACTGAGATGTAAACTCTTTTCTACAGATTGATGTTGAGTTTTTATTATGTTTTTATGTAGTGCCTCTAGCTAGGTTGGGGTCTAGAAATATTGAGTTAGGCAGATACGGAAGAAATGGAGGAACATAAAATAGCTTTTAGGTTTGCAAATATATATGTGTGTGTATTATAGAAGGAGAAAGGTATTTCTATCTCTCAAAGCTATTCTGCCTTTAAAACATCTGGAGAAAAAAATATTTGGTTTTCTTTGGATAGACAATTGTAGTAATTTACAAGTGATGATAAAAGTATAAGAGAAGCTGTGCACATACCCTCTGATGACAACTAACAAATACAATTGAGTACTATCAGCAGAAGTCTTGACCGCATTTGACAGCTACTACTAAACAGCTTGAAGACATTTCCCAGCGATATTTTTTTTTAATACTGCATCTACACACATCATTATATATCACTTTTGGAGACTCTTTAATCAAATAAATATCTACACATGAACAAAGGAACTACATGTGCTGCAGCTGGCTGCGATGAAGCTCATTTTGCCTTAGCAGCCCTCACAGTGCTGTGCTTTGCATTGGGAACACCCCACAGCTTTGTCTACTGCTGAGCAGGGCTGACACAGCATCAGTGCTGTCTCTCCACCATTCCTTCCCACCAAGGGGGAGGGTGAGATCCTTGGCGGGGGCACAACCATGCCAGCTGACACAAATTAACCAAAAGGATTTTTCGTATGATATCAACTCAAATATATAAGCTAAAGGAAGGAGGAGAGGGACAAGTCTTCCAAGATTTAGGATGCACTTATTTTCAGTTGATCCATAATTAAATATTTTGGACATAAGTAGCAGCAGAGGTAACCAAGTAACCTGCTACTATTTTCCCGCCTACACTCATATCACACTGGAGCCTCCCTCAAAAGAGAACTTTTATCTTCTTATGACTGCCAAGGATGTGGGGGCTTCATAAAGAGCAAGGATTCCTCTTTGTAATCATATTATTAATAGATTATTTGAACATAAATTAGTGCACGTATAGAAAGTCTTGAAAATGTCATTAGACTGTATTGTTGTTATAAAACTGTCAGAAATATAGGAAAAGTTTAAAAGAAGTAACATACCAGAAGAAGAAAACAAATAAATTTGGAAGTCTGGTCCACAGACAATCCAGAAATACAGACAGGTATTTAGGTCCATCTAAAGGTGCCACCACATCCTCAATCTCTTACAGAACTGTTGCCTGAAAACATAGGGGTTTTACCTCTCTCTCAAGGACAGAGGGAGTCCTTTTAATACCATAATTGATTATTGGATAGAAACAGCTGTATATCTCCAGACTCAGAAGTAAACTTATCCTTAGTGTTTCTTCCTACCTTGTCTAGTAAATTTTGAAATTTTTGTCTTTCTTCCCGCAGAATGTTTGCGCATAACAGCTATTACATGGCATATTTCTGATAGCTAGATCCTGACTCTGAGCAAGGCACATTTCAAGTCACATCATCTCCACTGGGAAAATATTAATAAATTGCAAATGCATAATTTAGGAAAAAACCCCAACTGTTATTGCATTATGTGCTGCACAAGAGAAAAGATGGGATGTCACATTCCAGCATGTAAAGTATAAATATATAGGGAATATAATCTGAGATGCATTTAAATGTGTTAACTTTTTGTCTGATTTCCTGTTTCATTGCCTTTTAATATATGTGTGGTCATATGCATTTATTTTTAAACATATGATTGAACAAGAAAAAAACTAAAATATGTATTTACTTCTAGCAGATTCCTTCTTCTCAGAGAAAACAGTATATAAGCTATCTGTCTTACTGGTCAAAACTAATATAATTTCTCTCTCTCCTTTGTACAGTTTTTAAACACATTATTATTAAAAGTAATTATTTTGGTTATTATCATATTTTCATTTTCTTTTATTTTTCCTATGCATATAGCTGTAGCTTGGAGAAAAAAATAATGAAAAAAGGATGAAGTAAAATAGGTAAATGATCTCTTTAGTCTTTTAAAGTCTGAATATAACAGGAAAGAGAATTTATCTGTGAATGTTTTTTACTGTTCCAAAACCTTCTTGGATTTTTTTCAAAGCTAACATTTTAGCACTGTTGCCGGAAAGAAAAAAAAATTGCAAGCACAAGCTGCTGTTCTGGAAACATCACTCTTGTAATTCCAGGCTTGTATTTAGTGTCCCCATGAGTGTCATTCCAGAACCATTGGCTTCTCTTCTGTTCTTGCAATTTCTGTTGATTGTGTGTGCATGGCCTCTTCCATCTGCTGACAGTAGGTCAAGGAAATAAGCAACACTGGTAAATATTTTTCTTCACATAAATACCACTAACCTTTGAGTTAGACAGACACACACAAACACAAAAAAAAAAATAGATTAAACTTCCTGATATTATCATATTAGCAATACTCATACTTATTTGTATAATATATGGAGAAAATGTCTTCGGAAAATAAAATTATTTGGATAATTTGGAGGATATGATACTACTGCATTCAGTTTTCTTAACGATTTGTTGCATCCAAGTTAAAAACTAAATTAAACAACCTCAAATCAAGTCTGGGGAGGGGAGAAGCAGAAGAGAAATCCTATTTTAGTTAATAATGTTAGTCGAGACTATTGGTTGACCCACACTTAGTTCCAATATGCTTTTTATACACACAGATGCACACATGCACACAGGCAGAAACACACACATTAATTGAGGCAGGTGTATATTATATATCCTCAGTTACTGCAACTGCCTTTTTCACTACATAAGTGTAAGTTGAAACCAAATATTCATGTACAGAAAAATAGCTATATCATTTCCTAATACCTATAGTAGATTCCCCAAAGCAGCAATATTAAAATAAGCTTATGCAATGGTAGCAAGATTTGTGCCTTCAGATTTTTTTTTTGGTCCCTATCTTGTTCATCCTGTTATCACCAAAACTGGCTCTAGCTCCTCACTTTGCACTGCCTGGAAATTATAATTGAAAACTGAGGCCTCTGATATCATCATGTGCCTGGGCTTTTAAGGCCCCTTTTGCTCCAGTTTTTACTTCAGTCATAGACAACGCATTTTATACAGAATGACCAGTTTTTATCTCTGTATGTCTGTATGTTTATATCCCAAAATTACTGTAACCATAAGCATTACATTACACAGCTTCATTGCACTAAAAGTTGAAGGAATTTGTAGTGCAAAAATTTGAAAAAATATTTGTTCTCAAATTACAAATAGCATTTCTTACCATCTCCATGTCCTCCCTTCTCTATATTTATCTTTTTTTCCCTTCTGTTTCTTTGGGGTTTCTTTCAATCAAAACTAATTGTTTACCTTAATCATCTTCATGCTTTTTCTTTATGGGGATACTGGTCTGTGGAAAAAAAAGTAATCAAGCCCCATTACATTACTGAAACTGTACTAAACTATTTTTATAGATGAGCTTATAGAGAATCATTAAGAACTTATTTCTCTCCTTTGTGTTCAAGGCCTGAAAAATGAGAAAGTTATCAAATATTTTAAAAGCCCCTGTGACAAGTAGGAAGAAAACAAATTGTCTTAAGATCCTCTGAAATCATTGAAGTGCCTATATTTCCAGAAGCTTTTATTATTATTATTTATATGTATTTAATACTATAATAATTAGGTACTGATTCACGAAACTATTTTCTGTGTAGGTAAGATTCCATGCAGCAATAATTTCACAATGATTTTTGCAACTTTGGCTTGGGGAAGCAGAAAGAGCTGATAGTTGGTCAGAAGACACCTTAAAAGGTCTATGGGCAACCTTATTTTCTAAATCCTATTGAAAAGAATATCCAGCAGGGAAAAAAAAAAAGACATAATATCTTTAGACTTTTCATGCATATGTTGGTGCAAATATTAGTTCTGAACTAATGTAATATCTAAATGTTCCACATTCATAAGACTACCCTGAAAATTACTGCTGGTTTTAAATGAGATTTTTTAAACTGCCTTATTTTTAAACTATTTGTAAACCACGACAACAATGCTGTATTTCTCAGTTTTGAAGTATTTAATATATAAGCACTATAAAGATTATTATGTTAAAGTTACAATTGTAATACATCTCAGTTATGTTATTCCAATGATTATGTCAGTGGAAAAGTGAAATTGATTATATTTTATTTACCTATGATAAATTCAAGAAATGATAAATCTGGCATTGTCATTACAAACCCTAGAGAAAATAAAGCTACTCCTATTGTGCATACACAAATGATTGCCGTAGGGCCAGTCTTAAAAGGTTCAAAGTGAAAATTGAGACAAAACTGAAGCTCATGTGAGTTTTTAGATGGTGAAAAAAATAAGCTGCTATTTCTAAAGGAAACTTTAGATGTAACCGCAGATGAGGAGTTTTGAGAGGCCAGCTTCTGGACTAGATGGAAAACATCAAATTTGAAATTCAAGCTTTCATATTAGAGGTATAGTGATAGTGATTTTGCTCTTAATTATAATTTGTGTATTTAAGTCTACCATAAGCAAGTTCAACTCTGAACTTTTATCATTTTTCTTTAATGATAATATTTTTCAGTGCCATGACACTGTAAAGAAGACAATAGAGATGTCCATTTTGGATATAGCAAGAAAGTGTAACATAAGTAATATGGAAATGGAGCATTTGTGCCACTCACGTCTCTCAGAAATTAGTCATCTAGATTTAAATAGTTATAGAGAATCCCTCTGAAGGCAGCGGAAGACAATCCCTGAAGATTGTCTTTCATGTAGCAACTCCAAAAAACAGATGGACTTCCTCTTTTTACTTCCTCTGTTATTCTTTTACCTGAAGAAAAATATTTACCTTAGTCTAGATACAGAATGTAGGTCTGAAGTTAGAGAAGACGGATTTCTCCTTGATGGATTTACCATGTACTAGCTGTGTTCCTAACCAGAAGTAAGCTTTCAAATAACTATTAGTCATGACATAATGCTTTTGTTTATTTTTTTGTTATAAGCAAAACATACTTCTAAAAGGACTGCAGAGTATTGTTGATAGCCTCTCACTGGTTAAAGAAACAGGAGAGATCAGATTGCTTGGAATTTTTTTGTTGTTTGTTTTGAGGTTGTTTTTTTTGAAGACTATATTTGCGCTAGTCAGGCTAAAGTCCTGCCATAATTGAAATAAGTACTTTTATATATGCTTTATTCATCATAATTTGCGATGTTTATGGTAGAGAGAGCTAAATGTACACATAAACAACTGGGCAAATGAGCTTCATCTGGTAATATCCCATCCAGCAACACATGCACACATGCATGGGGAGAAAAGTACATAAAAAGATTATAAAGATACTCATTTTATACCTATGTGGAAATGCAAGAAGTCTATACATTTTAGTCCAAAAAATCATGGAGCACATGGGTAGATTATCATTGACAACTGAAAGATTTAAATCAAATTCTGTAGGTAACCAAATATTTTGCATCAACAATATGCTGCCTTTTTTATGAAAAATGTGTGTGAGGGTTATTTGACCAGCTTAAATCCATTCTCTTGGGGGAAACAAAGAGGTACATCTTATTCAAAAGGACTTCAGTGATTTTTTGTATTATGCAGATTTACTCCACTGCTCTTGAGCAATGGCATTCAAAAAGCAGACAAACACTAACATGTATTAGAATAAATATGATGAGTACCAAATATGTGTCTACTGTTGAACTTGTTTCTCTGTTCTAGAAATCCTTCTGAGTTAATTTCATCTAGATTACACACATGCCATGTTTTGAAATGCAAAAGTACTTGAATTATACTCTGCATTATATGCTGATTCACCTCTAAAACTAGGAATTAACATGTATATGTATGTGCACTAGGATTTTTCTCAATCATTTTCTAATTTTTCAAAAATTATAAAAATCAACATTATTTTAATTTAAATGTGGGTTTTTTTCTATTTTTAAGACAGAATTTCCTTATGTTCTACATATTAAACAGAAAGACTGAATATCAAATCTGGTCTTGTATACAATTTGGTGGAAATTCAGCAGTGAATAGGATGAAAAAGTTTTATATGGAAGAGTGTTAAAACCCACTATTTCTAGTGGAAGCGCCCCAACTAACTCATGATAAAAAGGTTATAGATGCAAGAATGTAAGAAGCAACATAAAGTCATACCATTATTTGCTTTGATACACAGTAAATTCTTTAAGAGCATCCTTAGTACATATAACATATATGCTTAGAATGCATAGAACTGATGTGATGTTTTTATTCTAAATACTATTGTGTATTTTTGTGGTTTCAAAAAAAACCCCAAACCAAAACAAACAGACAAACAAAAACAAAATCAAAACCAAACAAAACCTAATACCACCACCAAAAATAACAAAAAAAACACCGCAAAAAAAAAAAAAGCAGGATATTTGATGACTGTCTTCATATTTCACAATTCCTGACCAAAAGAAGACATATTTTGGTAGCATAACAGCAAGACTTATTTCTTATCCAAAATTACTGTGAGATAATGATATGGCAGCTACCTATTAGCACTATGCTGGGTGCTTGATGCCTTAGAGACTTGCATTTGGCAAATGGTTCATTTTGCAGAATGGATTCATGAACTGTCTTGTGGTGACAGGCACTATTTAATTACTAGTATGCTTAAGAAAGTCTTGGGTGATGAGGACACACTACAGGACAGATTTCAAACATACATACATGACCTGTGCCCTACTGTTTGCTTTTTGAAGCTCTGGCTCTGTTTAATTTAGAAACTCCTTATGTGGTCAAGGCCAAAAGTTTCTTTCTCCTTTTCCTGAAAATAATTCAACTGCCAATTTCATGGCTCAGTCTGGTATCCTTTACAGAGGACACTATTAAATTTTCAGAATCAAAGGCCTGAATGAAAGGTAGAGAAAGTTCCTAATATAGCAGCTAACTGCATTATATGGTGCAAACATATATCCCAATATATAGAATGGAAAGAAATCTTTAAGACTTTGTAAATGTTGACTAAAGGAAAAATCATACTTCAAAGACAGGATTGCTCTGAAAGCTCACATGGCTTAATACTGAATTGCTGCTGTTAAATTTCCACAAGGACTTCTTGAAAGAGAAGGAAAGAATCATTGAAAATTGTGGCTTATAGTGACACCTGTATGAAACTGCTGTAAAGAAACTCCAAAATATATTTCAAAAAAATCCCCACAACCAAACAAAAACTAAAACCCAATAGAACAACCTTATTCCAGGGTTTTCAAAATCTTATGCACAGCACATCATTAAATAAACTGCCTTGCTTTGCAAATTATTCCAATAAATGAAGGGTACTGTATCAATTCAGGGAAAAAGTCTAGGATACAAAAGAAATGGAGTGGTGGTGGCTGTAATTATCAGAGTGATAGAAAGTAAAATTTATTCATCCTGATTGACTTCAAATTTGTGGAATATTATCCTGAATGGTTGATATTATGAAGCTAAAATAAGTAAAATTTATTAAATTTCTTATCACAAAACTTAGATTTTATGCTTTTGTCACTCATTGATCTTACTGCATTTCATAGGATCATGGAATGGTTTGGGTTTGAAGCAACTTCAAAGGTCATCTAGTTCCAACCTCCTGCCTTGGGCAGGGACACCTTTCATTAGACTAGGCTGCTCAAAGCCTCGTGCAAGCTGGCCTTCTAGGTAAATACTTCCACAAAAGGAGCATCTACAATGTCTCTGGGTATTGTGTGTGCATCACTGACCTCACAGTAAAGAATTTGTTTCTAAAATTCAATTTAAATCTACTCTCTTTTAGCTTAAAGACATTCCCACTTGTTCTATTGCTACTTGACTTTGTAGATTGTCCTCTCCAACTCCTTCGGGAACCCTGTTTAGGTACTGGAAGGCTGCTATAAGATCTTCCTAGACCCTCTCGTCTCCACAATGAACAACCCCAGATCTCTCAGCCTGTCTTCACAGGTGAGGTGCTCCAGCCCTCTGACCCGCTTTGTGATCCACCTGCACACCCCAGCAATTCCATGGCCTTATACTGAGGGCCCTGGAACTGGATGCAGGTGGCTCTCACCAGAGCAGCGTAAAAAAGAACCACCCACCCTCAGCCTGCAGCCCCCACTGATTTTTATCCAGTCCAGGGTACAATTGGCTTTCTGAACCACAATTGCACAGTGCAGGGTCACATTTGGCTTCTCATCAACTAACACCCTCAATTCCTTCTCCACAGGGCACCTTTCAGTCTATTCTCCTCCTAGTCTGTTCTTGTGCTTGGGATTGTACAGGACTTTGTGTATGGCCATGCTGAACTTCATGAGATTTACACAGGCCCACCTATCCAGACTGTCGAAGTTCCTCTGGGTGGCATCCCTTCCCTCCAGCTTGTTGACTGAACCCCACAACTTTGTGCTGTCAGCAAGCTTGCAGTGGATGTACTAGATCCCTCTGTCCATGTTGTCAAAGCAAAGATGTTGAAGAGCATTGGCCCCATTCCAACCTCTGGAGAACATCATGTTCTCAATTTCACTATGAAACATCTCTTTAATAGTAACAACCAGGGCAGAATATGAAATCCACATTTTATTTTTATTTTATCCATGACTTGCTGTGTTTTTTTTTGTTTCAGTGTCTAAAATTCACTGCTCTAATTTCAAGGTCAGATCTCATCCCAGTTTATGACTCTATTCACTACAAATAGGTAAATCAATGTTTACTGTTTCCTTCTGATATTTAGTTTTTCACTAGAAAAAACTGTCAAATATAATCTAGGACCTCCAGGGCATTTCTCTAGAAAATCCACCTCCATGAACTGGTTCTATGACCCTTTATGTAATCATGATCATACCCAAATATTTTATTGGGTTTTTTTTTTCCTTAGCAATACTGTTTCATTTACCATAATTTTCCTATTTTATCAGTTTTTTACTGATAATTTGTTATTTCTACAGATGTTACACTGCAAGAACCAAAGAGAATGCTGTGAGTTGTTGCATAGTGGTCTATGAAATACACAAGGTGAGATTTATTTGAAATATCTATCTTTGTACTAAAATATGCCTGCATTGCATTAATAGTGAAGCAGTAGTTAAATCAGCAGTTATTGCCTCAGCAGGTTGTGGCACAGCTTTATTCAAACAGAATATATGCAGACATCTAATGCTTTTTTTGTTTCTAAGTTCATATATATAAGTTCATTCTCTGTTTTGCTTTTTTGGGTTTTGTAAATTATCTAATATATATGTCCTCTTTAGAAAGACAATCATTTAATATTAAATTTTCATGGAAAAAAAATTTCAATCACAATTTTTAGATTAAAAAGAACCCCACAACCACAACATGAAAATACAGAGGCATAGATTTTTGTGTTACAGAAAAAGTATGACTCACTTTCCAAATTAAATAGAATTTCTTAATCTGAATGTAAGATTCAATTTCATTTTTCTCTTTCCAGTTTAATCTAGAGATGCAATGTTCAGTCTTGCAGTTCTAGTTATGGGCTTTCATCATCAGTTATTATAGTCTTTCTTACTATTTTGTCTAAAAAATAATTAATTTTAGAACTGGCAAAATTCCAGGAATCATTCCTACTTTTATAACAGTTAATAGGTATAATATTGTCACATCATTTAACATTAGAGTCTGAAATTTAGGTTTCTAACTTGATTCTGTTGGAGGAAGATACTAGGGCAAAAAAATTTTCCTAATATATGTTTTTTGTTGAATGTGAGGCATCACCTCATAGATCAGTTCATAAATTTATACAAAACTGTTGGTTTTTTTACACATATATTTCCTATACTTCGAATCTAAGTAGTATTGATTGTTCAATTGTATTATCTAGATATTCTTATTTGATTTAAAAATACACAAATCTAGGAAATAAAATTAAATCTTTATCTGTCATATTCTATTTCATTAACAATAGATGTCTTATATCATTATTTTCTGTGGCAGTCATAAAATCAACTGCATCATCTGTTGTAATTTGAACCATGTAGCTGAATACTGAAAAATGTCTCCATATTTAACTATTTTAGCAGTCCTTATCAATCACTACTTATTTTTCCCAACTACAGAAATTCTTAATTTGGTATATGTGAGACACTTGCTGCAGTGGAGATCCTTTAATTCTTTCAAATATTGTTCAATCTTTGATGTCCTAATACCATCTAGTTTCAAAATGCTGCAAAGCTGTAAGATAAAGAATTAGAAGGATTTAGGGTAGTGTGAGAGTGGGAAGATGTCTTTCTTTTTTTTTTTTTTTTATTAACACTCACTTGTTTGCTTTCTCTTTTTCTGCAGAGATAATTTGATCTTTTTTCAAGAGTAGGAGCTTGGATCTTCCCCTGAGGGTTGTTACTCTCTTGCTGAGGACTATTACACAGAAACATGAAAACCTCCCCAAAGAGAATTATTTTGGTATGAGAAACACTGTGCTATTACAGATTAATTTCTCTCCTGAAATCTATTGATTTCACACTGATTTCCCAGTGCTCTGTTTTGTTCCAACATTTTGCCAGGGAAAAGAAGAAATATTGCAGCTGGGGTTAGGAAGAACAGAAGGACATTTTCAAGGTTTCCAGTTCTTCTCCCTGTTGGTGTGGAAAGACCAGTAGCCATTCCATGATTATAGAAAATGAAAAACAAGCTAATTTAGTATAGTAGGCTTGATCTGAGCAGGATCCAATATGGCAAGGTCAAGCAAAATAAGACAAAGCCAAGAAGGTAGCAGCACTTGTATCAAAGTTATTTAGCAGTATGTAACCCTAAGGATTTTGGTTTTTAGTCATTACACAATGCAGTGATGAACAGTATATTGTCTAATTTCAATGTGTTTTCACTTAGTAAAGCAGATGTTGACTTTCTTATGTGATACTTCTTATGGTATACTGAACAGATTTTAGTTCTTACTTACTGTATCTTCTCTGTGTTTCAGCCAATATATAGCCTTTTTCATCAGCCTTTTTTTCTCTTTCAAGATGATCCAACACATAAAACGTTAGCTTCTGATATAGACTCCTCACAAAGAATCTCTAAAAAATCTTATCAAAATATGTTTCCTGCACATCATCATAATTCTGGCAGCTTGATTCACACTGAGATCTGACAAATTAATAAGATGACCATTACTTTAAAATGATAAAACAACAACAAAAAAAAAAAAAACCAGAAAAAAAAACCACAAAAATTTTTGTGTTAATCAAGCTGTAATTTTCCAAATTTGCACTCTTGAAATAGCTTTAAAGATTTCAGATGGCTGTAAGTGTAACTATCTAAAACTGTAGTACTATAGTACTATAGTACTCTAAGGTTTTCTTCAAGTTATTATGTTACAGTTCTACACTGCTCCGAGAAATTTTGCTTCTACCAATTTCATAACAAATAGTATTCAGTGGTTTCTTTTCTTAATTGCTCCCTTCATTCAATTGTAAAGACATTTATAAAATATAAAAAAATATCTGCTATGCATTTGTTTTTTCTTGAAATTTATTACGTATCTAACACTATGCATTTAGGTAAACTTGTAAATATTTATTTACCTAAATATATAAAATAAAGCAAATAGTGTTACAATATATGCCTTATTTGTTTGGTTTTTTTACCAGTGAATCAATGTACATTTTATTAATTAATACGACATTCTTTATCATAAATACATTATTTTATTACTTTCTTTCTCTTTGAAGTGAAACCTTGACTACAGGAAAAATCTGGGAATAATTAATGTGCAACACAATATGCATATATGCTGTTAAGGACAGAGCATGCCTTCTGTGTGAAGAGTATAGAGAGTACCTAGCTATTATATTCTGCTTTTCCCCCATGAATATTGAAGAACTTTTTAATAGAAGGTAAAATCACTGCCTTCCTGTATGAATAATATTAACGAATCACAGAAGATTAATTTGTTTCTTTCAAGCTGTGCTATCAGAGAACTGATGGTGAACATATTACAAGGTACTACAACTTGGATTTTCTTGTCTCCACATCAGTGTGAAATCCTATTTCTCTCTTGTAGAAAATATAGCTTTATTTTTATCTTACAACCTCATAGATCTTAGATGGTCAACAGCAGAAGACCGAGCAGGTTATTCTGGAATGTGTGAAGAGACATTAAAGACCCATGGTTACACAACTGAATTGAGCTAAAATAGCTGAGCTCCTGAGCTAGAAACTCAGACATTAATTTTCTTAAACTGTGTGCCTTTATGGCAGTTAAGTCTCTCCTCTATGCTGAAGGAATGACAACACTGAAGTACTAGAAACACTTTTTGCCTCTTTTCTTCCAAAACACTCACTAGAAGACGTTTCTATCTTTCTGAATTAGAAAATTTGCCAGCTCGAGAAGTATAACATTTTCAACCAGTTTAATTTACTTAGTATATCACTGTTTTAAGACTGTATTTTAAATCCCAGCCTTAATACTGAGTAACTTCTGTTTACATCTTTTAGACTAATGGCATTTTCATCACTGAATGATGCTGTCATATAAACTGGCAGTTCATTTATTGGAAAGAAGTTAAAACACTATTCTTCTAGTTTCTTAAAGAAAATTAAAAAATAAAAAGCTTTTCTAGTGCTTGCATTATACATCTGTACCTAGAGATAGCACAGCTGTTATTCATTCAATTTTTTAAGGAACTGAAAATTTCATTTTGTGTTTTGATCATCTTGCAAATATTATATTGCATATTTTCTGATTTTCATCTTCTTTTATTATTTTCATTGAAGTAAAAAAATAAAGATCATATATTAATTTCCAAATAACATAACATATTATTCTATTAACATAACTCTATTTTTTAGTAGTGTGCTTTTGTAAACCATTTTCCTTTACATGTTATAGACACAGAGAGAGTCCTGATGCAGAAAATCATGCCTTCAGTTATTCTGGACTTTTTTTCTTGCATTTGGTACAGGAAAGGTAATCAGTATAGAGCTTGCCTTTTATTTCTTTGTTTGAGTATTGATCATTCTGCACTTTGAATCTACTACCACTTTTCTCCTTGACGATAATATTTTCTTTGTCTGGAGCTTCTACTGTTCTAAAATTAACTCTTGTGTAATACATCATTTTTGTTCTTTATTTCATATCACTGACAGTACTGTGTCACACATGCAATAGTTGTATGAAAATGAAAGTTGTGAATATTGGATGTTGATGTAGCTATGTACGACATAATATTAGGTATTCAAATTATTGTCCCAGAGCTATGTGACCACCTTATCAAATATGATATCTTGGAAGGTATTTGATGAGCATACACTCCCTTTTTAGCATTTTCCATACATGATGAGGGAAAACATGAAAATTTAGAAAAGGGACACCATGAATATAACACTCCTCTCTAATCTACATTACCTGATTTTATCACAAGCTCTTATGAAGCTACTGCAGCTCAGATCTGTCAGAACTTCCATATTAAATCTCAGTTCATTTTCAGAAGTAAAAAGAGATGCATGCAAATAGATTCAGTCACCGGAAATGCTTTACATGTATAAAACTGAGGAGGAAATAATAACCAATGAACTATTTTTGTGTCCAAATTTTTTGGGTTCTAAAGGGGTTTTAAAGAAAATATTTAAACAAAGCAAAAATCATTACTAAACTGCTTTTTAGTGCAACTACTGTTTTTAACTATGGTCAGCACGGATGAACCTCATTTAAAAAATCTTTTTTTTTTCTAAGTAGTGCCACAGAAGAAAACATACTTGTGGATGTATAAAGGGGCATGCTGAATTCATCTGTAATTGTATGCTGAACATTGAAAATCTAACCTTTTTATTGAATATGGTTCAGTGAACCTGTTGAACATGATGGTGTGGGAAAAATGGAGTGCAAGACATCAGAGACTGTTGTTGAATAACATGTATTAAACTGTATGATGCATTTTCCTCAGAAATTTATTGAAGTGTGCAACAGCAGCTTTTGTTCTTCATACATGCCGCATGTAGTTGTGCACATTGTGGATGCCAATACCAGAACACATGCTGCTAAATATTTCAAAACAAATTTACATGGGCAGGAATTGCATGGGCATTCTATAGGCAGTTTTTCACCTGAATTCCAATTATATAAGATTTACAGACTGAAGTTCCAGAAACAGGAGGCAGGAAAACTTTGCCTACTTTCCTGTGCTTAGGATGGCACTCAGCTTATCAAAACCAGATAATCGTATGAGTATTATGAGCATGTAAGCAATTCAGAAATGTGTCTTCATGTACTGGAGATCCTGGAGATCATTATATGATAGAAGGCTTGCTTCTGCTCATGAACTGTTACAGGCAGAGGAATCAGAATAAACTAATCATAGATATGAGCAGCCATGCTCCCTGCTACTCTCATGGCTGTCACAGGAAGGCCATCACCGTCATGGTCTGGGTATGAAACAGGATTAGTCATGAAGCACTTCACTGGATCACCTTTCAGACTAAGAAGGTTTGCTGCCCAGAGTGTAGAATTCATGGGACAAGGCAAATATCATCCTTGGATTGCACAAGATTTGTTATGGTATCTTATGGGCAGGTAGAGGGAGGGTTCGAGGTAGTTTTGGAGGAAGAACTACCATTGGAATGGAGGGACAAAAGAATAAAAAGGGACAGTTGCACACACACGGGCTGATGATTATAATCCTTTTCTCCTTGTGCCTGGTTATCAGAGACTGTTCTACCTTCTTGTTGAATTCCATTACTATCTGTTTTCCTTTTGCAGGGACTGTCTGTTCCACGTGTGCCTGTGTGGTTGTGGGTGCAGATGCACGCATGTGGACATCAGAATGCCAGTAACCATCCTAAGTCTGGGGGTGACAGGTGCCCAGGTGATTCCAGGGCTTGTATCCAAGGAAGGTGGGGTTATCGAGTCAGTATATGATCACTGGTGAATATCAATCTGGACTACCCAACAAGTAAAATAAAGGGCTTGGAAATGTCAAACTTGGATGGCCACAGTTTGGGGCTAGAGATGTGTGTAATCTCTGAGTGAGACAGATGGAGAACTTGTCTACTGGAGGAACCAGCATGTCCAGACCAACTTTTAGAGGGACTGTAGGACCTGAGGGTTGACTGAGAAAAGGTGTGAGGCAATTGGACATGAAATGATCCAGGCCCAGCTACTAGATAGACTCATTGTTTCAGATCAGTTATTGAACGATTCATATATATGTATTTACAGAAACATATATTTCTCACTTTTGGACACTCATACAGATCTGTCAGAGTGGGGAACACGGTGAATTGTTCAGTGTTTCCTGTTTCCTGGACTTCTGAAGGTTGCTGTGTGAAATGATCTTCAGAAGAAATTTTGTGTATATTTACAAACATATTGCATTAATGTGCTTGCATATGTACCTCTTGGAAATATATGCTCACACCTGCAACTGGTCAGATGTGGAGGCAAAGAGCAGCAGCAGTCAGGTGTCTGCTGGGCTGCAGGATTTAGCAACCCATAACAAAGAAAAATGTGGGTTTAAAGGGAATGTGCATTTTCTCATTAAAGAAAACTATAAAGTCACAGCAGAGTAGATGAATAGATAAACATTTATATGTAGATTTCAATCTCCCCCACACTCCATAGGAGGTACATTTTCAAAGTGCAATGCATCTTAACATTGATGCTTACAACAGTTTTTTTACATTCCTATTCCTCCAGTCAAGGATGAATATAGCCTAGAAAAATAGTTTTACTAGAAGCACTAATTTTAGACATCTAAAAGACTTGAACCACTATTCCTTAGACTCGTGCTAAAATTTTTGCTGAGTGTTCAGGGGACAACTTCTGTTGCTGCATTTAAGATATTATATAGTATGACTGATCATCTTTTCATTACTAGTTCATATACTCTGTAAAGCAGAAAACACATCCTACTAAAATATTACTTTCTGCAGATAGAGAATTGTAGATAAAGCTTTTTGCTTTGTATTTTAGATTTGGAAGAATTCTGTGTCCCTCTTAAATGTACTGAGGTCAGGCACTGCTCTGTTTTTTTCCTCTTGCTAGCATATCCTGTATTTGTTCACTGTATCGTTACCTTGGTTCACCATACACTCTTTCCTATCTTGTTATTTCTTCCTTTTCTGCCTACCAAAGCAGTTCTAGCTTTGGAGACATTATTCATAAGGACAGTAACCTTGATATTAATGTCAGACTCTTAATTGTAAAAAAAAAATGAATTTGAAGAAAGTATAGGCCAGATATGGATAGGTTTTTCTTATAGGGACAGATAACATTGTTCTTTAACCTGAGGGTGGTATCATTTCTGATTTTTTTGTTCATAAAATAAATCTCATCAAAGTGATTATTCAGATTTTTTTAAAATGGGAAGATCAGTGTAGTTTATCTAAACCTCTTCTAGGAGTTAAAAGGTTTAGCTCTGGAAGTCTGGCACACTTTGAAGCACCTTATAGTAGGTGTCTATAATGGAAAGTTATACTACATATATTAAATACATAAATTTTCTGACAGTTCAGTCATCATTTTTTCCTCAGTGAAGGGAAAGGATGCAGAGAAGCCTTTGAAAAAAACTTGAAGAGATCTCTATTCACTTGAAAATATAAGAAGGTAAAGAGAGGAAATA